GTAGGATGTTTTCACAGCAAAAGCTCCACTTCTTATTTTTTACAAGGGACTCTGTGTGTTACATGAGACTCTCCTTATGATGGATGTGGGTTATCTGGACAAGTTGAAACCTTGTACATAAAGGAGAAAAAAGTCACATATCACTTTCTCCAGATATAGAATGTCAGTGTTAGGTGAATATTTCCCAGACTTAATTCAGCTTCTTTCCTTGAAGCTAGTTGAAGAAGCCATTTTTTTTTCTTTTTTATAACATTTTTGTTAAAATAGTTTCTTGGTTTTTATGAAAAATTGAAAAATATGTCTAAAAAGCTTTGGGTTTTCCTGGTTTCCCTTGAAAACTAGGAATTGAGGTAAAAAAAAACCCAATTTTTTTCACAGCCATCTTTATTTTGGCTACACTACTGAATAAAAATGTCATCTGCTGTATTTCTTTTCTTCCTGCTTTCCAAATTTCCTTCTGTTCTTCACTTTGGCCTTGCTCTTCTTGGTCTTTCACTCAGTCTTCCTTCTATACCTCCTTGAATGCTTGGTGTTCTCTCGGTAGTCCCCTTCTACTTTAATCATTTGTCCAAAAAATTAACTTCTTTCTACTAATGGTGTTAAGGCCTCATCTACCTCCAGTCTTCTCCAACCCCAGTTGTTAGATTTCTTTTTATGGAATTCTCAATATCTTTTGATGTTACTGCATTTGAAATGTTTCTTGTCTCTCTTCAAGGTCCAGCTTTTGAAGTCATAAATATGTCATTTGAAGTCCTGTTTTTTTCCTCAAAGTTGACCTCTCTATTTTTCCAGATCCTTAATAAGTTTACCATGATTAATATCCTTTGAGTATCTGATTTACATGAGTTATATCGATTAATGACTGAACTTTGATTCTTTAACTCACTCAGGCTTTTTTTTCTTCTCCCAGGCTTGGTTGTTGGTTTTTGGTTTTTGCTATGGTCATTGTTTTGTTTTTGAGATATTGAGTCCAGTCACCTCTTGCTGTATGTAATCTATTGACCAAATCCTGTAGTACTTCAGGCAGTTAACTGAGGCAATTAATTATATTGTCTGCTAATAATGGAGGCCCTCCTATAAAGCCTTCCAGTAGTACTTTCTCATTACTATCTTTGCTAGAATGCTGAATAGATGAAGGTGACAGTATGCACTCTTGTCTTACACTTTGTGTGACTGCAAAATACTCTTATGTTACTTTTGCAGCTTCTATAGCTGACTTGATTATGATACAGCTCACACAGTAGCTCAACTAAGTGTGGTAGATATCCCATCTTGAGTATTGATCACCATAACTTATCATGTCCCACTGAATTAAGGACCTTAGTGAAGTAAGAAAAGTATGATAGGTATCTCTTAATTTTACAGATGGAGACATAAACACAGAAGGGTCATGTGACCAGCTGAAGGTCAGACAATGAGTCAGGTGGAGGGCTGGGAGTACCCCTGATTTCCTGGTTTTGTGTCTGATCCAATGGGCTCCACCAGCTTGTCACAAATGTACTGTATCTATGAATTGAGGAACTGCACTTCCTTAGTTGCTGAATATAGCATTCATTTTTCATTTTGGTTCCTTATAGATTTATAATGACATTAAAATCCTTTACGGACTCCTCAGCATCTGCACATGAAAAAATCTTTGCTGTTTTATGGTAAGGGACTTTTTTCTCCACTGCTTGTTTTTATAGCTAAAACAGATTCATTGAAAGACTTTTTGTTTAGTGGGATGAAGGGCTAAGCTCAACTGAAATTGTGCTCATGTGGAAAAAATAGTCAAGTCAGCTCTTACAATTTTTTAAGCTAACTGGAAATATCAGGAGTCAAGAAAGCGTAATTATTTAAATAGAGGGTAGAATGTCATGTGGCTGGTGCAGATTTTTGAGCTGCATAATCAAAACCATAATTGAACATGCTCAAAACAGCTCTAGATATAGGGTATGTTAGGCCCGTAGCACCTGTTGGAAGTTGTGCATTATTTCCCATGATACTGCAGGCATGACCTATAGTCCTATACTATACCTTTTTTTCTTCTGAGGTGATCTTCTCAGAGGCTATTTTTATGAAACCCCTGGGGGAGAAAGTACAAATGTTCTCCAGTTTACAGTAAAGTGTGTGTGTGCACACGTGCATGCTCCTGCTCTGTAAGATTTAATTACTGCTGGAGTAACATATATGTACCGTCGCTGACTCCTTGTTTTTGTTCACAGCATGCGCTGCCAGTCCATTCTGCATATGGCAATGTTTCGTTACAAAAAGGACACTGCAGTAAAGTATTCCCGTATCCTCAATGACCACTTCAAGGTAGAATGCATTGTTTAATCAGTTTCTAAATAGGCAGTGGAAAAGAACTTAGAGTGTCTGGTGTAAATCATTGTCACACCCAAATGTAACTGGCTTCTTTCTTTGCTACAGAGCTCTTCCAGAATCACACAAGCGCCTTCTCCATGTGTTGCAAGGTATGATTTAATTTTTTTATCAAAGTGCCGTCTTGCTTATGGAAACCAGTTGTAGTAGCCTGTATGTTTTTGAGTTGTAGACTTTATTCCAAGGCAGCTGAGTGCACTGCATATCTTCCTGGCTAATAAGCTAAACCAGTGTTCTTAAAGTAGAAGTATTTATCTGCTGCTTATTTCTTTCCTTCCTCTCAGCTTACATGGAGAGATTTATTTTTCTTAGAGATAACATACTTCTGTTGTAAGGTATACAGAACATTATCCTATCAAAGGATCAGGGAAATAAAGACTGTACAGTATGCTTTTAGAGCTTTTAGAGCCCCTCTTATTTTGATCCTTGTCCTGGGTGACTGGATACAGAGGACAGATGAAACCTGTTGGATTTTTCTCCTTTTGCATGCATCTTCCTTTCCCATTGTCCTATTATACCCTCTCTGTAAACCATGCTATATCACTTGTGGTAATGTGTTGAGCTCTAGGTTTTAGCTGGGTTTTTTTTTCCTCATTTGTCCACCTGTTAGAACTTATTTTAATAGGAATCAATGTGTGGCTGATTATTAATGCTTTTTGGTCATTTTTCTATGGCTCTGAGAGTTACTGTAAATGTGGCAACAAAAAGCAACATAAAAGCTACTGCAAAAATTTACACAGAACAATTTTTCAACCAGCTAGCTGTTGAGCTAATGCAAGTACACATGCAAATCAGATATGGCCCAAAGAGCTCAATATGCATCTAAGTGACAGTTCATAAGTAAATATTAGGGGTGTGCGAAGTGGGCAGTATTCGATTCGGATTCAGCCCAATTCAGGGGACAGTGATTCGATTTGCCAATTCGGATCACTGTCGCAATTCAATTCAGCCAAATCTGAATCTGAAGATTTGATTCTGATTCAGAGAATCAGCAATTCAGCCATAGACACGTCTTTAAATGGTTTTTCTACATATCTTGAGGTACCAGGCGTAGCTCATGAATGCTGAGATGGTAGAGCGGCTGGAGCATCCCACAGGAGTGTGGAGGGCAGGGGGGATCCCCCACACGCTTGGCAGTGGACCAGAAGTACTTCTGGTCCACTTCCGGGTCTGCTGCTAAGTGCGTGGGGGACCCCCTCTCCCCTAGCTTGGCGATCCACCACAGGGGGACCTGGGTGTCCCTCCAGACCCAGGAGGCACCAGTCGCTGAGCTGGGGGGCGGGAGGAACCCGGACCTCCAAATCAGGCTGAATCGCCTCCGAATCAAATTAGCGACCAAAGGTTTGTACAGCCCTAGTAAATATGGTGTTTTGTGCACACACAATTTTGGCAACTGCATGCATGAGCTGGATGTCCAGCTACATTCCCCTTTCAGAAAGACTGGTACCGTACATGTTGAGAGAAGCTTTAAAAAATGTAATTGCTCCAACTGCTATCTATCACAGTAGTGTTTATTAGACTGAATACTCCCAAGGTAAGTAATATAAACCCCATTACTTGAGTAATGTAAAATTAGGCCGGATAGAGCAGCGTAAAGCACACCATAAAAATAACCTGGCACCTTCTCTGGAGGATGATCTAGGTGGCCACATAGTATTGTTCCATCACTAGCTTCTGTGCTAAAAGTGGATTTACCAAGTAGTAGCCAGATATATTTTAATACTAACAACCTATAAAAATAGTCCAAAATCCAAAATGGGTGGACCATGCCTGCATGAAGTGGAATTTGTTAGCCAAAACCTTTAAATAACCAAGTTGAGACTTTTTCAGAAGCTTTTGGATCTTCACCATGGGACTTAAGTGGTAGATCAGCACCATCTGATGCCCTTCAGTGGCATCTCAGGTGAGCACCCAGAATCCCAAGTCACTTGGTAAAAACAAGCAAACAAACAAAAAGTAAATACCAAAAAACCTCCAACTTGAATCATAAATACAATTATGCATTTACATAGTGGAACATGCTTCAGCCCTCATGAGCCAGGTGCATATGATACATATACAGTTCTGACTTATGCTCTCACAAGACACCCAGGATCAGACAATATGAGTATCTTGTGGCAAGACATTTCAGTGTTACCTCGCTGTTTCATTTTGTCTCTTTGTTTTCTTTTCTCTTCCTCAGAAGCACAGGCACACCTCCTCTCTCTCCAATGCCCTCACCTGCCAGCTCTGTGGGTTCCCAGCCAGGTTCAAATGCAAGTAACGGTGGCAGCAGTGGCATTGGGTTGTCAATCAGCGTTCCGCATAATATCCCAAGCATAACTTCCTCTTATGTCAACATCACTTCCTACATCCTCTATGCATATGATATTTGGGAACAGGCTGATGCACTAGCCAAGAAGAATAAGGGTAAGATTTCACCTTGGGCTTCTCAGACTGTGTTTGGAGAAGCTTTTTTTTTTTTTAACTTCTAATACCAGGGGCAGCAAACTGTCTTAAAGGGTTTTTTGTTTTGTTTTGTTTTCTTTAAGGGAAACAAGATTAAAGTTACTTTAATGTGTTGGTTGAACACATTTGTTGCCACTGTATGACATTTGTCTCAGTTAGAAGGTCACTTTAGAGACATCACCATTTTGAAAGAAAGGGAGAAAGAACTTCAAAGGGCCAAAAACCAAGTTAGCCCTTTACAGTTGACCTGCAAAATGTTTTGCACTTTACTCTCTCAGCCTATGGATTTGCGATCCATGAAGTCACTTCTGGATTCATCTTTGTCATAAGACCTTTTTCACTTTTTTTTAAATATTAAGAATAGTGGCGTTGACATCCCAAAATCCCTGACTACCCAAGTCCTGCAGTCAGTCATTGTTTGTAGGCCAAGCTCTTGTAAGCAGTGTTCTCTGCTGTCTGACATGCTCTTTACTTCGATATTGCTGGATTTTTATTTAAAGTTAGTACATTGCTGCAGAAGGGGGAAAAGCTCTTGGACCTGGAGCAGCTCAGGTGATAGTCATTCACATAGGTTTTAGAAAATGACTCTTTGAGCTGCAGAGGGCAAAGACGTATGTTCAGACTTGAGGAAAGAATAAAAGAACAGAGTTAGGTAGTTTATTACATTTTTAAGATGTAAAAACATATTGAGTAGTGTAGGCCATAGGCCATTAGAAACATTTAAAGAAAGATTTTTAGATTTAGGTCACCTTTAAATAAAATAGGCGACCTAATAGGTCACTCAGCCCTTGCACCCCAGAATCCAGCCCTATATCACCTTGCACACCCCATGTAGTGCACAGGACCATGGCTTGCCGGGCTCCCTGCAGGCCAGATTACACAGAACCAGGGAGCCAGATCTGGCTGTAAGCTGCAGGTTGAGCACCCCTGATCAGTACTGTACTGTTCAGGATATATTAATAATAATTAAATCTGCTGTTGGCTGTCATCTTAGATCATTTGCATCCACGGCAGCAGTTTCTGTGCAGTTTCTGTACAAAGCTGATTAGAAGTCTTTGGTACAGTGTATATCTACAGTGATAAGCCAGAAAGTGAAGTAGGAATGGTGTAAAACCTGAAAAGAAGTGCAAGAGAAGTCTTGGACAGATTAAGGCCAAACTAAAAATTCACTTAATGCTGGTTTCTTAATGTGAGGGAAATAATCCACAAGTATGCTAAACCGTAAATACTCCCCAGACAATTTATATCCTTGGGACCCAGGCAGACATTACATTTATTGTGTGATTAATGTGTTAATCATGCAACACATTGTAACATGCCACACGTTCATCATCCAATTTATCACATAAACCATAAAAATGGCAACACACCCACAAAGATGTTCCACATTCAACACATCTTTGTGCCCAGTTTCTCACTTTTTGTACTGGCATCAGGTGGCATGGCACAGCTTTATTGTTCGTGCACATGGGCAGAGGTATAGTCGTCATGCAGCCCAGCAACAGATGTTCAAGATCTGGCATGATAGGATACACAATTTTGGGGAACAGGGATAGAATTTTTTAAGATCCCATCACATATGTAAATTAATGTCTGCCAGTGGCTTGACAGAATGATAGTAATATTCATGTAGACCAATGTTTAGACCCTGTAGACCAAGTGAATGATGCAGGGCTGGTCTGCAAGTCAGATAAGGTCCAGCCTGCGAGGATCAGTTCCTGGATTGCTTCCACCTGGCCACAGCTCAATCCCAGCTGGGTAGGGGTGGCACAGGGTCCCGGGGCCCAATCCTAGCCAGTGGGGGAAGCACAGGGCCCGATGTCTCCCCTGTCCAGCTAGGAATAGGCTCCAGGGGCCCCATTCAGCCCCTGCACACCAGGATTAGGCCCCACACTGCCTTGTGCATCCAGTGTAGTGCTCAGGACCACAGCCAGTGGGGCTCTCTGCAGGCCAGATTATGTGGCACCAGGTGGCCAGATCTGGCCCACCAACTACAGATTGAGCACCCATTATGTAGACTGTTCAGGATATAATAATGTTTTAGGAGCCTGTCAGACCTAAATAATTAAGATTACCAATTAAATAAATGGGTGTCAAATGATCTCAGCAGTCTGTGATCTCTACTCGGGTATTAAATTTGAGTGGGGAATGGGAATGACGATAAAATAAACAGGGCACATTATGCCCCCTACCCACCACTGCCCCCCATCTCCAATCCTTTATTCCAGTTAAAGGACCTAAAGAGAACAGAAAATAAAGCATCTCCCTCACTAGTCAAGTTTCACAACATAAGAAGGTCCACAAAGTGTTTAGAATTGGTATTATTCTATCCAATGATTTCTCTTTTGTGGTTACAGTGTTCTAAAGGTCTCCAGCAAGAGAATGGTCCCATAATAGTCCCTGGCCAGCCAACACTATTTAAAAGGCTTAGAAGTTGACTATAGGCTGCCTGTATTTAAGGTTGCCCAGTATTTCCCATTATAAGACCTTAGCTTTGGTTACTTATAACTTTTCAGGTTGTGCAGGCTGAAAATTTCCATGTTGGACTTCTGCCTCAGGCTGTTTTTTCCCAGAATTTCAGATACAGTGTTCGAGTCTTCTCATAACAGGATTGGGGAAAATATACTTAGTTTTTTCCTTCCCTTTGTTAAAAAAAAAAATCCAGTTTGCAGATGTCTAGTGAAGGTTGGTCAGTTTGGCACTGTTCTCAAAAGGTATGTATAAGAGGTCCGATAAAAGGCTGTGCAGGCAACCTCAAATCGGGCATTTTCCTAATCTTTGGCCTGCTTGATTTTGCAACCTCAAATGTTTTGGATTTAATTATATTTTGAGCATATGAGTGAGAGCATGAGAGTGAAGAAGCCTATAAGGTATTAAGTAGGCTGTACACTTATTACGTTTCTCTGTACTACAGTATTGTGTTTTCATGATAAAAGCATTTCTGACAACAAAGTCTATTCTCTCATTTCACTTACTGCACCTCTTTTCCCTTCGGTTGTATTCTCTGTAAAACCAACCAAACATTTTCTTTCTCCTTCCCCTCTTTCCAGAATTTTTTGCTGAACTCAGCGCAGCGGTGTGCAGTCTGGCACTAAACGGTAGTATGACTGAACTGGTACACTACACTAGACAGGGTTTACAGTGGCTGAGACTGGAAACAAATATGCCTTAACTGGTGCTTAAGGTGGTTAATGCCTTGAACTCTTTTGCACTTTGGAAGCCTCAGAAGCAGTCTGGTTGGCCGAATCATTGGATTCAAAGTGCCAGGAAGGGAAATAATACAAGATGGAAGGGATCTGGTTACACTGGAAAACTACTGAACTGTGTTTTTTAGGGTGGCACTTGGCCACCCTGAAGAAAAGAGATGAAGGGAGGCCTCAAGAGATGATGATGCCTTCCTTTACAAGGACAAAGTGCAATGTATTGTCTGAATTGTTCAATGTATTGGTGGTCTACAAACATTTCTATGATGAATAACCAGCAGGACAAAAATCACAAATGAAGAAGTGCCGACAAGAAGGAAATCTGCCTCCAGAAGTAATTATGCAGCATCTCAAAATCTGCAACGGTCACATGCCCAGCATAGTTTAGAGAAATGCCTTTGCAAACAGATGCAGTCTGCAATATGTGTTTTTGTTCCCCATGTCGAGGGGCAGACAGGAGAGAGAGAAACCCTCAACAACACCAAACAGCATTATGTTAAAATGGTTGACAGCAAAGCAATCTGCCTTGCCCACTTTCCAACCATATTTTTTGTGTTTGTGAACCAATGTTGTACTAATAACTCCAGGAATAATTGCCACCACTGCCTTTAATACTGCAATTTCACCTATTAAATCACTGTTGCGCGCACACACACACACACACACACACACACACACACACACACACACACACACACTCTTTTCACTTTGAAACTATCTCAACTATGGTATTACTCAGGTGAGGCCTTGGAAGGCAAACAGTTCAGGTGGGAAAGATAAAGATCAGGGATTAATAGTGCTGCTTTTCTCTGCAAGGAAGGGAGTTCTCACTGAGGATTATCACTGTTGTTTATAGGGTTCAGTGTGGAGGTCATGGGCAGCCAGAATATTTGTGCAGTCGCAACAAACCATTGTTCTAAGTTGCAGACCTCAAAATTGGGAGGAATTACTACTGCTCAGTTGTTCTACCAGGAAATGTTGCCCTTGGATCTTCACACACAACTCAGGAAATACCTGAGGACAGAGTTTGTCACTGAAATATTGTCTCCCGCTTCAGGCAGATGCCCCCTACTTCATTACAAAGCTTATAGGTTGGGTCCAGCACCTCAAAATCTGCTTTCAGGGGAACATGAAAGGGAATAGTGATTCTGTGAGATTTGTAAGCATCTCTTCTTTGCCATAAGTTGCATTCTGAAGTTATAGTGGCCGTAACACTGAAGAATACATCCACAATATTTTTATATCCAGGTAGATACCCCCGTTGCCCAAAGAGTACCTTTTGTGTATGAAAGCAGTCTGCCACCCGTGTATCAAGTAGTGTGCCTTAACCCTCAAGTTCTCTCTAGGAGCACTCAACTGGTGTGAATTGTGATGAATAAGACCATATCCCAAAGGAGTTGTGCTTCTTGATTGTCTTTCCTTATAGGAAGAAAAATTCTTTTTCAGTAAATTAGTTGCTTTTTCCACCTCATGGATGGAAGCATTCACACGTAACATTGAGACGGTCCTATGCATGTGCTGCAGCAATGTGGTATTCCCTCTCCAAGATGCCCATTAGGGTTTAGAGTTTGACTAAAATCAAATACCGCCAAGAAGTCTGAAATTTCTAAGGACCTGCCTCTGACCTGTTTATGACAGGGACAATCTTTTGCAGTGTGAACCAGGAAAACTCCATTTGTAGATGAGAAGTAATGCACTTTCTCAGAGAGTCTGAGTAAATGAAATGCTCTACTTTTACAGGAGCAAGAAAAAAGACTTTACATTCTCTGCCTGCACAAGACCTGCTGTAACCTTTCTGCATTTGTCCTTTTGCCCCCTTGATTAGTTCATTTCAGGCATAAGTCCACCTACCCAGCGGAAGCTAGCTCTGCATCTCTTCCACCAGTTTAATTAATGGAATTACATGTACCTGAATAAACCTTGCGGAAGGAATACCACACTCGGAGATTGAGTTAAATTTTATCCTCAGACAGCGTGGGGAGGAAAACAGAACTGAAGTCCTTGTAGATCTACTCTTTTAGAGCCTGCATACTGACATGAAATGCTCTTCCTGTTTGTCTTGGAATGAAGCTGGTTGCAGTCTCCCAGTTGAGGAGGGACAAAGAAAGACCTATTGCTTAGCAAAGGCTTTCCACTTCCATCCAAGTTAAGATTCCATTTGGGAATTTGGAAGAAATGCAAAAGTATGGGGGTAGATTTAAGGACAGAGGTGGATTTGGATTTATCATGGGGTTTCTAGATGGCCCCACAAGGCCCTTCACCCTCCCCTTTTCTTAAAATCAGGCTCAGTTTAGGTTCTTCCTTCTAATTCTGCCTCTTGCATCGCATTATGCCTATCCATGTCAGATTCCACATGAAATAGTCCAGCTCATCAGGAAGCAGTTTTCAGTCATACATTGCGCTTTTATGTGCCACTCTGGTTCTGACTGCCCTCTGGGCTTCTTCTGGATCAAGTGGCCTTCCCTTCCCTGACCCACTTATTTGAGCACTTTATTACTCTTCCCCTCAGGAAAGCCAGCTAGAGGGAATGGGCAAGCAAAGTCCTTGTCAAAAAGATCCCGGTAATGCAGATGCACTGTTGGTTTTTTGCTGCCTTACAGGATTATTCATGAACAGTAGAGTAAAATAATGTGGCATCTAAGTCCTGTAATAGAGTTTGAATTGTCCTTAGTGAAGTGAGTTGCAAAATTCACATTTACCTTGATGGGAACAATATTGGGCCCATAGTCAATTCATCACATACACTGTGGTTTATTTTCAGTCTTTCATTTTGTAAGTGGAGAGTGGTGTATAGGGATCATCTGTAAGCTACAAACCAGAAAGCTGCATTCTATTTTTGCCCTTTGAAGGGACTGTATAAATACTAAAGAAGAAATACCCCCATGCTCCAAACTACATCCAGTCTGAGGCCAGCTGAATTCAAGGGGAAGATTCCTGTTGACTCTGGATCAAGCGCTTAAAAGGGGGGTGGGGAATTAAATATCATTTGCCATTTTAGAAAACAGGTGGTGGCTGAGCCCTGCAAGGAAAGGAGAGAAGGGAGCTGTGGTAGACAAGCAGCTTCCTTTGCAGGCAATATTTATTTAGAATTAATTAATGTATTTAAATCATGAAATGTTCTATTTCAAAGATGCCATTATTTAATAGTGTGAAAGCCCCATTCATGCTGGAGCCATGCATCTCTTCTGTAGTTGAAAGTCAAAGTTTGATGGGAATGTTGTTTTTAAAGGCAAAGCCCTTGTTCTTGTTTTTGTCTTCTCCTTTCCCCCTTGGTTCCCATTATAAATCTGTACATTTTAAATTTATTCTGGGGCATTTTTTCATCTTCTAATAACATTTATTTTCCTGCCCTGTGTGTGATGAATTTTCAGACTGATTGATTTCATTCATGTGGGGTAATAAAATAAACATGAAATGACATAGCCTGTTCATTGAGTTGCTAGAAGAGTCATTATGGCCTTTTGTAGAGAAAATAGTTTTTTTGCAGTCTTTCTCTCTCTCTCTCTCTCTCTTTGCATAGTGATGATGATTTTTGTTTCTAATTTATTTAAGTGTAGCTTGCTGTAAGTGAAAATGCTCTTTTGAGTTCCTTCCATATTTGAAATGTATTGCCATTTTGCTTTGGTAAAGAACCTTTGACTTGAAGTTCAAAGGTTCTGTGTGGCTAGAGAGTTGCAACATGTAGACATCAACCTTGCTTCCTAAAGACATGAATGCTGGGGACTTTGTGACAAGTTGGAGCAAACCAGCATTTAACATGCAGTAATAGCCCACAGTCATTTTCCTTGTAATAAATGAGTTGAGAAAGCAATAATACCAAGTCTGGAATACACAGGTCATGAACACTGTATTTTCTCTCTCTCAGAATGTCCCGAATAAGATGCACACCTTGTTTTTGAAAGGCAGAAAGAAAAAGAGCTTTCCTCTCCCCCCTGCAGGGGCAGAAACTGCTATTGCCATATTTCCCCGCTTATGGTGTACACCCCAATTTCCAGCAGCTGAATTTTGGGGGAAATGGTGCATGTTGTCTGTGAGAAAATATACTATGTTACAAGGCATGATGTGGGAGGAAGCACTGGTTAGCTGTATTGTATCATTGCATCATATCTTTAAAACACTGTTTTTGGGAGGAGAAATCTGCCCTTCTCCAATCAGGTTTTATGATGCCATCTTATGATCCCCAGCATCAGCTTTTCACTGCATGCCCAGAGTGCTCACTCAGATGTCATTGTCTGTTAATGACGCACCTCCTTACTGATTCTGGGTTACAGTTATTTTCCATGGCCTTACTCCATTTTTGGTCATATGGTCATATTGGATTTTTCTCCCCTTCGATTTAGGATTAAAAATGTAATCCTTCCTTGGAAGAAGGATTTCACGTATCTGTATGCACTATTGTGAGAACTCATGTATAATTCAGGCCCTGTATGCAACTGTCATTGCAACTAAAAGAGCATTTCCTAATGGTGAACACCTTTTTTATGTATTATGTCAAATGTGAT